TGGCTCGTGTGAAGTTCTCGGGACTCTATCCCCTATGCCCCCGTCTGCTGTTCCTTCTCTGGCCTGCCCCCTTGTCACGTCCTGCCTCTCACCTAACCCCTCCCCCCATTTGCCCACCTCTTTTCCCTCACCTATCCCCCTTGCCTCCCCCTTGTTGTTGACACCTGGCAGCCCGCGCCGCCTTGCCGGCCCTCCCCCCCGCCCTTGCTTCCACTTGTACCCTATCCGTCCTCCCCACCCTCGTCGAGCCCTGAGCCATCTCCTTCCCCGGATCCTCTTCCTTTCTCCTCTTTCTCAAGCCCCTTGTCTGCTACCCCTTCGCCTCTCTCTCCCTTCCTCTTCTTCGTCTTTGATGGTCCTCCTCTCTTTCCCCTCGCTTGTTGCCTCGTCTTCCCCCTCTCTCTCTCCCCTACCGCCACCTCTCCCATAGTTTCCCTGCTTCCTCCTATCCCTTCCCCTCCTATCGCTCCATTATCATTCCCTTCTCCCAAGGACTTTTGCCTAGCCCTTCCTATCCTCTTCCCCCTTTCCTTGATGGCTCTCCCACCCCTCTCGCCTCTCTTCCCCCTTCTTCCCCTCTACTAACTTCTCCCCACTGCTCGCCCTCTCCTGGCTCTCCTTCTTCTCCGACGATGCCTTGGCGGTTTCACCTTTGTTGTGGGAGATGCTCTCACCACTCTCCCCCTACTAGTCTCTCTGTCCGGTCGTCCTCCCCACCCCCCTAACCCGATTTTCCATCTCACCCCTCCCCTTATTTCTTCGCTCCCCCGGTCTCTTTTCTTGTCCACTCCTTCACCTCCTTTGCCTTGGCCCCTCCTCCTCTCATTCTAGCCTTCCTCTCTTATTATCCCCCTTCTGTTAGTTGGCCTAACCCCTCGGGCTCCCATCTCTACTAGGTGAACAACCCTCCTTTTGTTCCATTTCTTTGCCCCCTCGCCCCTTTCCGTTTTTTTTCCTCCACCCCTGGTTTCGCTTCCCTCGTCTCCGTCCCCTGCTTCGCCTTTTGTTCCTACCTTCTCACCTGCCTCTACCTCTCAAGTGGGCTGGCCCCTCCGACCGACCCTTCCCCCTCTCTCTCTCTCACTCTCCTGCCCCTCGTGCCTCCTCTTCTCCTCCTTCTATTCATTTGGACCCTCCCTCTTCTCCCCCGGATGGGGACCGCTTCATTCCCCCTGTTTCCTTGTTGGCCCCAACCCCATTTTGGCCCCTCTTCCCTTTGAGACCCATCTCTCTTCGGCTACCTCGGCCTCTTCCTCTTCTTTGGACCACCCAGCCCCCTTCGCGACCTCTAGTTTCTTTTTGGCCTTGGAGAAAGCCTAGGGCAATGCGGCAGATGTTTTGAAGGGGGTGAGTTTTAAGTTTGATGGCTCCCCTGAAGATGTCAAAGCGTTCTTCAAATCTGAGGCTCAAACTAGGTGCAAAGTAAGTAAAAAGGGCTCTTGAGCACTAGCCAACCTCTCTTGCAACATAAATTACGACCACTATGGGAGGGACGATGCGCCAACTCAGGACACCACACACCCCTTGGTGTCCACCTCTCCTTGACACCCGTCTAGGATGTCGCAGTCCCTCCCAAGTCGATGAAAGTTTTAGTTTGGAATATCATGGGCCTTGGTACCCCCAAAAAAAACCAAGCTATGTGGGACTTCTGTTCCAAATTATCCCTGACACTACTGGCTCTGATTGATGCCAAGTAACCTGAACCTGCCCTTTAATTGATCAGGAGGGTATGGGGGCGAGGCCCTATCAATGAAAGGCCTTGCCAGCCTTAGGCTCTTCCGCGGAGGTATTTGGGTTGTTTGGGACCTGACTCACTCCTCCTTGACTCAGGCTAGGAGCGCAACGCACGCGGTGACTATCTCCTTGAACCGCATCTTCGACCACCACCCTTGGAAGTTCTCAGCAGTCTAGGCCCTAATACCAACCAATCCGCATTGTGGGAGGAATTGGACGTTGCGGCTGCTCTCCTCCCATCTCGGTGGTGCATCGGTGGTGACTTCAAACTCGCAAGATGGTCCCACGAACGGAGTTCTTCTTCCTCCGTCACGCCGAGCATGCTTTTGTTGCTGATTTCATTGGCAGACATGAACTTAGCAACAACCCCCTCCAGGGGGCTATTTTCACGTGGTCGAATTCAGCCGCTCGATCCAAGTTGGATAGGTTCATGTGCTCGCAGGACTGAGACACTTCTTTTCCTGACTCTATTTCTTCTGCCCTCCCCCGAACCATCTCTGATCACAAACCCATACTCTTGGACACTTACCTTGTTTTGAGTGGTCCAGACCCTTCCGCTTTAAATTTCTCTGAGCCGAGGAACCAAACTTTAAATCTGCTTGGTCAGTTGGTGGACATCCTATTGCCCCCTAGCCCTGGGCTGGGCAGGGTTCAGACTCCATAAGAAACTCTCGCTACTCAAATCATCCCTAAAGGCTTGGAGGGTCAATCTGCCGGGGGAATTTTCAAGCCCTTAAGTCTTCCACTCTCACTTCCATTCACAACTTGGATCTCGTGGAGGACTCTCACACCCCCACACCTGAAGATGGAACCTCCTGACTCCAACTAAAGTCTGATCTCCAAGTCCTCAGAAAAGATGAGATCTAGTGGGCGCAGAGATCTAGAGTCAAATAGCTGAATTACGAAGATCTCAACACAACGTTCTTTCATAAAATTGCGAATTGCAAGAGACGAGACAACTCTATTGTCCTCATCTCTCATCAGGGCATCACCCTTGATGACCCCTTCACTATTGATAGTACCATCCTTGAGTACTTCCAACATTTGTTACGCTCTCCTCACAGACCTGTCCCCATCATGGATGACCTCTCTTTCTGAGGCCCAGGCCGCCTGGCTCGAAAGGAGCTTCGACGAACTCAAAATCCTTCGGGCAATCAAAGAGCTTGGCCAAGATAGGGCCCCTAGCCCTGATGGCTTTCCAGTGGCCCTTTTCAACTGATATTGGGGTATTTTTCGTTTGGATTTTCTGGTCTTCTTTGCTGAGTTTCACGAGAGGGGTATTATCAATAAGGGCATGAATGCCACCTTCATCACTCTTATTCTTAATATCAAAGGGGCCTCAGAACTTAAGGACTTTAGGCCCATAAGCCTAATCAACACCTCATATAAAATCCTGGCTAAGGTCCTCGCGACCTGTCTCAAACATGTCTTGGGCTCTGTCATTTCCGACAACCAAAGCGCTTTTGTGAAGGGCCGGCAGATCCTTGATGGGGCTTTAACTGCCCACAAAAGCCTCCACTAGCGGTTTGTCGCCAAAACCCCAGGCTTGATCATAAAACTTGATTGGGAGAAGGTGCACGACCATGTTGACTGCGACCTTTTCGAAGAAACCAAAACCAGGATGGGTTTTGGGGCACAGTGGAGAAAATGGATCCGAAGATGTATTCGAAGCCGTTATTTTTCTATCCTCACCAACAACGCACCTCAAGGCTCCTTCAAGTCACATAGGGGCCTTAGATAGGGGGGCCTTGTGTCCCCTTTTCTCTTTGCTATAGCAGCAGAGGTTTTCAGCAGATCCACAGATGGGCTATATCCGGTAGGTCTTGTCTCTAGCTTCAAGATAGGAGCCGAGGCCCCTACTGTAACTCACTTACAGTACGCCGATGACACCTTGCTCTTTTGTGATGCATCTTCCACCCAAGTGAACAATTTGCTTCTCTACCTCCACTGTTTTCATTTTGCTATAGGCTTCAAGGTCAATCTTAGCAAATCCAAGATGATGGGGATTTCGGTCGACCCTGCCACCCTCCAAGCCTTTGCCGACGGCTGGGGCTGTGGAATTGAAGCCTTACCCACAAACTATCTTGGCTTGCCTCTATATCTAGGGAAACCACGTAAATCTCAGTGGGGCCATGTCATTGACAAAGTGAAGAAAAAGTTAGCTTCTTGGAAAGGGGAGATTTCTGTCTCCGGTAGGGAGACGCACCCTCATCAAGGCTGTTTTGTCTGGGGTCCCTGTTTACCTCATGGATCTATTCCATCTTCTGGTCTCGGTCCGTGAACGCTTGGAACAACTGATGCGAAGTTTCTTGTGGTTGGGAGACAGATCCTCCAAGAAATTCCACCTTCTACCATGGAATAGGGTTTGCCTTCCTAAAGCCATCGGGGGCCTTGGGATCCGGAGCTTGAAAGTCACCAATCTCGCACTTCTTTGCAATGGTGGTGGAGGTTATCCATGTAGGGAGACCAACTTTGGCATCGCATCCTTGTCTCTAAATACCGGCTTTCGGCTCCTCTTTGGTTTATCCCAGCCAGCTTACACCACCGAACCTCAGGGTTCTGGAAATCCATATTCCACTCCCTGCCTTTTTTTATTGCCCACATTCGGTTCTACCCTAGGAACGGATCCCGTGTTCACTTCTGGCTCGACCCTTGGCCCATTCCGTTCCCTCTCTTGGTTGTTTTCCCCTCTCTATTTCGCTTGGAGGAATGCTTAGAAAGTAGGGTCCAGAGGGGTATCTGTAATATTCTTAAAAAAAAAAAGCGTTGGAATAGCTCATTTGACCAACACAAAATGAAACATTAAACCCTGTTCCAATCAGTTAGGAAAACACTAGCATCGACAAATTATCAATGTCAGCCAATAAGGACCAGTTTCCAGTGAATATAATAAACTCTTCACCAAATTAGTCTAACAAAAAGCAACATTGCAAACTGGTCCTTTTGGCCAAACTTGAGCCTATCTGACCAAAATAGTCAATTTATTGGTAGAACTGTTTTCTGGACAATCACATTCTCACAAGATTCGGCTCACATAAGAAAAATATGGCAAGTGATTGAGACAGATAATTGAATAAGCAAGCCATAGTGATTGAGACAGATTATTGAACAAGCAACATTCTTATAATAAATGCGAGAGACAGACTTATAAGTTCTGGAAAGTAATCAAATGTCATTTGTTATATACTGCAAGAGTAACAAAAAGATTCACTTGCAGACAGAAAAAACAAGGGATGGTGAAGAGAAAGTAACTAGAAAATCACAACCTTAATTAAGTTCGAAAGAGCCCATGCAGCTGTTCTTGCCATTGAACCATTATCTGAAAGCATCATACGTGCCAAAGCTGGCAATGCTCCTTGTGCTATTAAAATGTTTCTGAGCTCTTCTCCTTCCCCAGCAACATTTCCTAGAGCCCAGGCACACTGCTCAGCAATGGGAACTGAGCTTCGGTCTGCAAAGAAAATATTGACATGAAAAATCTAGTCAATCAGGATAGCTATAAAGGAAATAAAAGAAACATTTGGCAAAAAGCATAGATAAACTCAAATGTCACATGACAACAATTAAGATCAAGGAATTTTGGTTCAACAAACGCTCGTATATCAAAGATAGATTAGGCAAACTAGATGCCCTCTTCCAACCATCCTGTACATAGACATGTTGATAGAACTCAAACCTGGTAGCTATATTAAGTCCACAACCACCTTGCCCCTCCATTCCCTCAGCCAAGAAAAGAGAAAAAATGGAACTGCAATACATCATAGAGGCTTTGACACTTATACTACTTGAACTGGATGCTGTTGTTGATGAGATAGAAGTCACATTTTTTGTAGACTTACTCGGTTTACCAAATGTGGCAAAGCAGCAACAAATACCACCCGAGCTGCCTTTCAAGTAAACACCAATCCACATGTTTCTCTTTTTGAGTGTTAACCTGGGATCTTAGTAGGAATTCAACTCTCAACCGCATATTGTACAACCCTGCCGACCTGACCAACCAAAGGCCTAGAGCCCATTCCTATCCCAATCCAATGTTCTACTTGGTTGTGAATCCTATTCAAGATTTTCTAAGTCACAATAGCCCAACCATATGAAAGAAATAAAATACTTGAAACTAGCATACCTGGACACTGCATCTGACAACCTATAACCTCAGATCGTACTCAGAAGTTCAGTCGATTGTCCCAGTCATTTGATAGGGCTGTTGGATCAAGAAGATAGAGCATCTGGGCCCAAGGTGAGAGATGCAGCTGGCAATAGACTTTCCAATCTAACATGCTTAAGGCAGTTCCTTCCTCCTGAGAGAGATACGGTATTTCGTTCATATTCTATGTCCACAAATTCAATCACGAGAAGGCAGTGAGTCAAGGGATAGAAGCACGCATCGTATGAAAGAGAAGTTTATCATGTATGAATGAACTCTATCATGTATGAGTGAGCCGCCTAACGGGGTAGGGAAAAGAGCGGTGGTAGGTGGTCGAAGTATACTATCTTCGCCGGATTCAGAGAGATAACTAGTAGAATCAAAGAGGGGCAGGGGCACCACATAGGTGACACATAGAGGTTAGGGAGTCAAGACAAAAGCATTGAATGTGTTTAAGATAGGCATACCTAGATGGAATCCTACTTCAAGTGGGACATAGATTTGTTTTTTTTTAAGCATGAGTTGAACCTTTCAAAATATGACGATACATCTCTCACGCCATACTTTCTCTCTTTCCTTCACGCCATATTTTTTTCTCTCTCAAATTTTAACCCCTCTCTTTGCCCCAAAGGGAGTCACGTCACCCTGTCTCTCTTCTTTATGTGTGTCGTGCCACATAAAAAGGAAAAAAATGTGGTGCTATATGAAGCCCTAGAGTTAGGGTTTGCTGATTTTTGAAAAAGAAGAGCAGTACATACAGCCAAGAGAGAAATAAACTCTCAAGCCTTGCCCTAGTTTGTTCCTATAGAGTTTCTATAAACCCTAGTGGAGTTTTGAGCTCTCTAAAGCCATAGATTGAAAGGTATTGTTTTAAAAGCTTCCCTATCTCAAAAATAACCTACAAGACCTATTACAAATACGTCATCGGTCAAGGAATCGGGTGTGGGGTGTATCAAGACCTGTAAGGGTAACTCCAGGCATCTTCTAGCAAATCTTCCTAGTAGATTTAATTATTTTTCAGTCATAGTTCATATTCTTCTGTTAATTTTCAATAAAATATATTGTACTCAAAACTATAGTGGAAGATTGTTTATTGCTCCTAGATGGTTGGTATTTGCTTTGGCAGTAAACGTAAAGATCCAAGGTTGTGTCTAGGGTATTAGTTTTGATTTTCAGCAGTACATTGTAGCCTATGTAAGTGGAATTCTAGTATATTGACATAGGCTACTTAATTTTTTAAAGTGGAATTCTAGTATATTTAAGGATAAGGCTTTAAAAGGAATGTCGGCCATGTAAATCCACTTTGCAATCCACTTACATACTGACTTCTTTTGTTCTTTCTTATATTTATTTTCAATTGTGGTTTGTTTTGTTTTTTTCTTTCTCTCCTGAACCACAATTTCGAGGCTAGGGGTGAAAAAAGAATCCATTGGCCCCTTAGAGAGAGGTGTTCTTCCCTTAGCACTACCACCAATATTTATAACCCTCTCTCTTGAGGTTGAAGTATGAGTACCCCTTTACCTCATAGCAACTTCAGACATATCATCATCATCATCATCATCATCATCATCATCATCATCATCATCATCATCATCATCATCATCATCATGATCATCATCATCAACATCATCAAATAATTGCATATCATCAAGTAATTCCTTTCTGTTCTTTTTTTTTTCTCTTTATCTTTTTTCAGTCCATCCAAATATTCTCTAATCTCCTCTTTTATATCATCTGTAGCTTGTGGGCATGCTCTTACATTCCCAGAAATTCCGGCTAAATGCTTTTTTTGTCGAGAAATACCACCCATGTAAGTATTTCGACAGAGCAAACATATCACACAATTTCTATTTTTCGGATGTTTTTAGTTTAGCATATTTTCAAGCCTGATCCTTGTTACTAGAAGATTGGGAAGAAGACATTGCCCTAAAAATAAGTATAACAGTACTATTGTACAAGGAATAAAAAGTTACCAACTCTGTGAAGTAGTGCTCGATTTCTTCACGGCCTCTGAAATCCCAAATTTCTTATCACAAATTCACATTAACATCACCAAATCAACAATCAAAGGAATCAAATGAATATCCAAGTATCAAACAACCGTCAAATCGAAGATTTGGATGAAAAAACAATTTTCGTCAAATTTTTTTTCCCCTCGATTTGATGCAAAAAAAGCCACAAAAGTGGCTGAAAATCATCGTTTAGGGGATATAATAACCCCCCAAAGAGTTTTCCTAAACTTTGGAAGTTCAAAAAGACCATTTTGCCCCGCCCCCCCCCCACCTACGAGGGGCAAAATCGACAATTTTTTTCTTGAAAACAGATGTGGGCGATGCGGCCTGATGCGGCGCATATGCGGCCACATCTGTCAAAAGCGCATATGCGCCAGTTTGCGATGCGGATGCGAGCACATCCCACATGATGCGGCCGCATATGCAGCGATGCGGCCGCATTTTAAAACACTGCCTCAAGTACCATCAAGTGTATTCATTCATTTTGAATTCTATCGTTTCTCGTCTTGCCACTCATCTATCTCAGCTACTCTCATTCGACAGATATGTGTTTCTCAACCACCCAACATTCCATCCTATAAAGCATGGTTAGTCTTACAACCATCCTATAGAACTTCCCTTATAGTTTCATTAGTATGCGATGATCACATAAGACTCCAGTAGCATATCTCCACTTTGTCCACCTAGCTCTAATTCATCAAAATAAAAAATTATTTAAAGCCTTATCCTTAAACCCCCCCCTCCCTTTATAAATTTCTCTTATCTTATAACGAAATTAGTCTTATAAGAAGAAAGGGAACGGAAGAAAGAGACATGATGTGAATCCCATATGGGGTTCACATTCAACTCATGGTGAGGCCTACTCATGTGGTTGGCCATGGCCATTGGCCCCTAATGCGAGTCCCATAAAAATTAAAAATACCAAATAATTTTATGAATTAAAAATGCTCTTATTTTTGTAAAATAAAAGGAATTCCTAATCCTTGAAAATTATTTTAATTGAATTAAAAATCATAGGCACAAATAAAATTTGGAAAAATTATTTTTTGGGTTTCATAATTTTCCAAACACAAAACAATAGTTCCAGAAGAGGACTGGTACCTAGAGGTCGAGAATAAGTGACTTTCTAAGGCACTCCACCAATGCTAAAAATCTGTGACTCATAGACTAGCTTCTCAAACCAACCCAAAGAGACCACCCACAACCCAATGAGACCCATAACCAAGTCAATCGCAGGGGCTTATGATGGCCCATCAAAGTACGCCAATAAATAGTAGGATAATAAATCTAGTGTGGAGATTATAGGTTCCCCCCTTAGCAAGTCATATCCATAAGGATGAATGCACGTATTGCAATAGTGCAAGGGGATTCTCTCCTCAGCACATTTACACAACCCACCCTGGGTATTTTCCACAATGTATCTATGATGTGTACATATTATGTGGTGGCTGTTGAGGATTTGGCTATTCCCCTTGCAAGCCTCCAACAGCATGCAGGAGAACACCAGTCTCCTAACCGACCGACAACATCAAACCTCGACATCCCTCAATTGTAGTGCTTATGCCCAAGGGTATGGGTTATGGACTCAATCATAGATCTAGACCGCTCAATCAAGGTGAGTCAACCAACAAATCATAAAACGCCATAACACAGTCCCAGTGGAATACATATTCATTATGATTTTTACTTTTACATGCTCTCAAGGCCTTTAAGGGCCACAAAACCCATCAATAATTCCATGAGCATCTAAACTACTTTTTTAAACAGTTAATGAAATCCTTATGTGTGTGTGTGTGTATATACATAAAACAGATGGGGTACGCCCCACGTGTATAGAGAAAAGGTACACCCAACAGCCATGATGTTTGTGGGAGAAATGGACAGGTAGAATTGCGTCTCACTCTAGCTTCTAAAATAAAATTCAAAAGCTCCAAAATAGATTACACCCTGACACACTAGTGCTCTCTCTCTATACCCGTGATATGTGCATCTCTCTTTCTCTCTCAAGCAAACAACCCTCTCGTTGAACCCCCTCTCTCTCTCTCTCTCTTCTCTCTCTAGAAAAACCCCTCTGCATCTCTCTGTGTGATAGTAAAGCCTTTAGCAGACATCCCTCTTTCATATTGAACCCCTCTCTCTTGCTTTCTCTTTACGTACCCTCCTCGCATATCTCTCTCTCTCTCTCTCTCTCTCTCTCTCTCTGACAACAAAACCCTACCTGCATATCTCTCTCTCTCTCTCTCTCTCTCTCTCTCTCTAAACAAGGTCTAATTTGCATCTTTTATTACAGTACCTAATTTGCATCTCTTCCCGTGCAGAACATACAATGGCCATTAGAGGCTGCTGTGAAAACTTATAAATTCTTCAAAACCAGAAAACAATACTAAATTGAAATCGAAGTAACATTTTAGACAATGGCCATCACTAATTCATGCATGTATGTATCTATGTAGCATACCCACCATGGCATGAATTTATGTATGGATGCAAAAGACCCCAAAAGAGAAACCTAAAGCTTCATGAACACAGGTAACTTGAACCCATTTTTACTCAAAAAAAAAAAAATTGGAATTACAAATTTTGAATCAACTCATTCGTTGAATTCGTCATAGAGAGAGAGAGAGAGAAAGATAGCCCTGATGTGGTCGCTTGAGTGAGAGAGAGATATTGCCCTGTTGTGGTTGCTTGAGAGCGAGAGAGCGAGAGAGGCCCTACAGCAACAGAGAGAGATAGGGATTCTTGCTAGAGAGAAAAAGTGAAGAGAGAGAGGGGCCCTACTATCACAAAAAAAAAGAGAGATGCAGAGGGGTGCTAGAGAGAGAAAGCAAGAGAGAGAGGATCATTTGCTAGAGGCCCTACTGTCACAGATAGAGAGAGAAGCAGAGGGGTTTATGCTAGAGAGAGGGGGCTCTGCGAGAGAGAGGGGCGTTTGCTTGAGAGTGAAAAAGAGATGCACATATCACGGGTAAAAAGAGAGCACTGGTGTGTTAGGGTGTCAACTTTTTCGGAGCTTTTGAATTTCGTTTTAAAGGGTAAGGTGAGACACAATCCTACCCGTCCATTTTTCCCACAAACTTGAAAACCCTACAAATTTCTAAAATACATTCCTAAAATTTAAAAAGTCCAGGTCCAGTGAACTTAGACTTGGACCGGGACTTCGAGGAATGGTCGGGTCCATGCTTTTGGACTTCGACCCACCCTACCAAGTTTACAAGGTAGACCTAGGCAATGGTCCAGGTCAGATCAACCACCATCCCGACCAGATTCCCAACCCTGCCTGCATATTACAAAAAATCCAAGCATCCAGATGATATTACACTTGATTTCATTTGGTAAGGGATTGGATATTCCGTGGCAAAACTGGCAATTGCTAGATTGCTTCAGGTCCTTACTAATGGACAATAGTATAGTTGTTGTGACTTTTGGATGAAATAAGCCTCTCTCTCTAATGGACAATAATATAGTTGTTGTGACTTTAAATAAGCCTCTCTCTCTCTCTCTC